AATCCATTTCATATCAGAAATTGTCAACAATTTTGTCGCCAGAGGTTGCTCTCAGTCGTTTGGTGTTGTCGTCCGATTTGGAGATGTTTCGCGTGAATTCGGATGGCCATCTTTGTCCATTCGATATTGGCAGACAGAACGATAGTGCCAATGATATGTTGAATGCGCTCGCTCCAAATGCCCGCTCGAAATGAGGACTCCGCAACGAGACAGGTGCGCTACGATTCCACTCCATTCCCAGTTCATCCCAGTGCATGTGCCGTGGATATCTAACGCCCGCGCTCTACCGGTGTGGATGCACTCAACGAAGCGGAAGTCCATCAGCGAGCTACGTCGCTCCCTTGGCTTGTGGCATTCCTCATGTTCGGCATGCTGACTCTCGCCAACCTGCGCCATGCGATGGTCATTTAAACACCGTGAGGTCACGGTTTCGCACCAACGGCAATGCGCAGAGTCCACCGAGTACAGCATGGATTCAATGTACCCCACGCATCGCCTATCGTTCTACAGCGACGCGGTGAGTTTGTCCTTCTCCATCTTGAGTTCCATGCACGTGTCTTCGATCGATCGGAGCATTGCTTCGATGTTGTCGAGTTTGTTTCGTTTTTCGTCGTGGGCACGCATCATTGTCGAGAGTTTTTCGCTCAACGCTTGCATTTCCATCGCCATGTACGGGTGCAACTGCCCCGCTGTCCCGCCAAAGTCGGCGCTGTCGTCGTTCCGGCCATGCTTGGCCGCGGTCGGCATCGGAAGCTTCGCCGCGGCACTCGCTCCGTACTTAATCGACGTCCACTGGCGCTTGCAATGGAAGCGCAGTGTGCTCCACACACCGCTTGCAAAAGGAAATCGAATCGCCGCCTCCTTGGTCATCAACGCCGTCGCTTGTTGCTTTTGGACAGTCGCGAATGCGTCTTGCAACACGGCGATAAAAACGTTCACGACCACGAGCACAAGCAGAATGTAGAACGAGATAAAGTACACGGGGGCAAGCGCTGCGTTGGCCTGAACGAGCTCGGTGTAGTCCAGTCGAAACGTCAGAGCTTCTAGCACGGTGACGACCGACTGCCCAAACGTGCGAAACCCCGGTGCCGTCGTTGAAAACGCCAGAAACCCCGCCTACGGACGTGCAGCCCATCACGAACAAGATGCTACAAGCACCCCCGCCAGAACGTGCGTCGATGAAGCCTTCACATCTTACCTGCGCGTAGCCAAGAAGGCAAATGAAGAAGAGCAAGATGCAGCTGACAAGGTCCGTCATGGCCTGGCTGAGAACCTGCACGAGCGTGTACATGCGCCTCGAGATCTAGAGATGCAACCGGGTGACGTCCTGGGAGGGTTGGTTGGACGACTAACCTGCGTGTACTTGAGCAAGGTCAGCCAGGAGAGTACTGCGTTGACGGCGTTGATCGTGCGCTCGAGTGTCCCGAGGTTGGCCAGCGACGTCAGGTACAAAAACAAGTGGGTCGGCGATGCAGTGTTCAAATTGACAGTGTCGCTGCCGTACACGGCATGGATGGCCACGAGGCGCAGCGTGATGGCGGTCACAAACAGGGCCATGTTGACAACATGCAATTGCGTCCATCCCGACGACGTGATGTACTCAGTCGGTCGCCGACGGTAGAGTTGGTACAAGATTTCGCCGGCATACCCCACAACCCCCAGCGCGAGGGCAACTTCAAAGAACACGCGACCACCCGAGTCCGGGCCGTAGCCATACACGTTCAGGGCAGACGATCGCATGGCCGCGACAACACCACCGGTGGGAGGAAACTCGATGACTCCCGTCACCATGTCGAAGAGCTGCAAGTACGGGTTGAACACGGCAAACTCAACAACCAGCGCTCGCGTCGCGACGTCGAGAAACTGGTTGTCCCGGAGCAGTTGGACAATTCCGTGGGCACTCGTACCATTGACAGGTAAATCCACGACGTAACCGGAGCCTGGAATCGGCCCGAGGACGCCGTCGATCGCGTCAGCCACAGCGGGGGACCACATGTACGTGTACACGGGTTTTGGTGCGTCGGAGTTGCCAAGTTTGCAGTTGGCGCTGTCCGAGTAAAAGCATGTGCAGCTGAGCGAGCATTCGTTGTTGTACTCGGCGGCGTACCGCGCCTTGTCCAACCCATACAGCGACCCGACCGACACCGCGCACGACTGAATACACTGCATGAGGTCGTTGTAGGTTGGAGACGGCCCAAAGTACGACTTGGCAAACACACCCGCCGACGCGTGGGACACGTTGAGCGAGTTTTGAATCGGCCCGAACCCGAAATTGCTCTCGGTGGCGGGAGACAGCGTCCCAAAGCAGTACGATATCAAGTTGGTGTATTCGTCTTGAACACGGCACGAGTTCGGCTGCACTCGGACTTGGCGAAGACGAACGCCACCAATGCGAGCGTTTGTAAGCGTCACTCCGCCTGCGAGGGATGGCGGGGGGTACAACGTGGTCACGAGCGGTCCTTGCAGCCAATCCCATACATCTGGAATTGTCTGCATCGTGCCAAACGTCAGCAGGAGCCCCTCGCGTTGGGCTGACGAAAGAGAGTTTGCAGGAGGAAGTGCTGTTGGTGGCGAAGACGGCGACGCAGTCCCATCCGTCGACGACCGAAACGGCGTGCCCACGACAGCTTGGTGGATCGTGTTGGTGTAGTAATACGTCGACGCTGTACCTTGATTGTACGCTGTTACGATCACAAACACGACCAAGAACAGCACGTAGCACATGACTTCCCGTCCGCTGCCATACGGGGGCACACCTGCCGCAGACGACGCTGCAGAGGGAGTCAAGGACGGCGAAAAAGAACCGACCGGCGCTGCCCCTGGAGGGGACGCAGCCCGCGGAGACCCCAAGGCTTTGACCTCGTCCGTGACGTGTTCCTCAGGATGAACTTTTTCAATCGCAGAGTTGCCGCCTCCACGCATCATTGCGACAAGGCCACCGCGGTCGTGACGCGGCTGGTCACAGTGGTGGTTTCACGAGCGTCGGTTTAGGATGAAACAGCAAAACCTTTCGACAGTGTGACGAGAATCGACGGGCGACTATGTCAACCTATTCGCTTGCTCCTAATTGCATCTCGAAGCGGCGCCATGGAGCTTGGATTCGGATTTTTCATGCGTTGCTCGTTAATCGTCGAACGCAGGCGTGCACTCACACGTGCAAAACACTTTTACGTCTTAAGTCGTAGCATGGGCACGTGTGACCATCAATATGCCAACACCTGCGACACTTTGGACGACAGCAGGGCGTGCACTGCATTGCGAATGTCGTGGTCGTTCGATCGCACCAGGTCGACCACGAGCGGATACAGCCAAGGCAAGTGAAGTTTAAGCTACAGCAGCCACCGAACACACGTTTCATGCATGATTCGATGGAATTGGAGGTCCTACCTCGGCCGTGGGCCACGCATTCAGCGCATGCAAGATATCGACGACTACTGACACGTAGCTCTTGGATCGAAACTGTTCGTCGGGCGAGATCGGCGTCGAGACTGTTGTCATGTCGACTGAGCTGTTGGCGCGGCTCCACAGTAAAAACTCGCCAATCGTTCGTGTCAACAGCCTAACGTCACAATCAACGGGTCGTCGTCGGGCGGAACGTGGAAAGGTTTGTACTCTTTCAGGAGCTGGCGTGTGTCCGCCAAAGCAACTTGCTTCTCCACCATCGCAAACAGCACGCGAATGTACTCCCACTTGCCGTTCATCTCTTGAGGGAGGAAGCTGCTCGACATCGCGACAGGCTTGTCGAGCGGGTACACCCATCCTGCTCGCGTGCATGTCGTGCGAATGTCCAGACGGTCATTGACCTGCCGGGCAAACACGTAGCTATCCTTGAGTGCAGTCAGCAGCGACGACGCGTGTCCTAGACTTCGAGATGAGCGATTTTTCGATAGCCGCGGTCGAGACTATTTCAAATGGATCGTCGTAGAGGACCTGGCGACAGCGCCATTGGGCTTTTAAGCCGCGTCGTCAACACGTTGCCGAGCAACGACTGCAAAGTGAGCAACACCAACAAGTGCGTGGTCGATGGGATTCCAGACGTTGGTCGATGCACGCCTTCTTCGGCACTCGTGTTGCGCGGTACCACGCTGAATTGGAATTTGAGCGCATGCATGACAGCAGGGTACATGGAGATAAACGACGGCGGGCCGGGCGGTTCAAAGTTGGACGATCGAAACTGCGCCATCGGCGACAATATGTCGGCAGTCGGTGACGACGCGGTCGACGGATCGGCCGCAGCATGGGACAAAATCCACGTCGGCTGGATCTGAGCCATCACGTGGCGGACTTCGTCGGCAATCAAGCCCCACACGTTTTCAGGGAATTTCAAGCCATGGCTCACCAACAGGTTCTCAAGAGTGGTTGCTGCGGCGCAGGCTAAGCCTATACACAAAACAGATCATCGTTCCGTTCGTATCGACGATTTGACAGTACCCGAATTGGACTCGGCCGTCATGCACGCGCCAAGGCAAAAGAGCAACTCGGGCAAGAACCCAATGTTGTCGTAGAACTGTCCAAAAATCGCGACAACTTGGCACAACGCGACTCGGCAACACTTGACTGGTGGTGCAGTTCCTGCATCCACCGAGGTGGCTGTTTCGAGTTGGCGCAAGTCGTTGATCAGCGGAATCAAGACGCCCTTGAACACAATGTTCCACAGCCCAGGCGATAGCTTTGGGCCGTGCAAATGGAGCGAACCAAACAGAGTGTCCAAGCTCACTTGCCGCACTTCGGGTCGCTTGTCGCAGCCCAGCGTGGCGAGTGCGGTGAGAATTGGCCACCTGCACGCACAACGTCGTGAGAACGCATCGATATCAAGGCTTCAAACTAGAGGACGGCGATGCGAACATGCTGGTTGTGGTCACTGGTGGGAACGGGGCGTACCAGAGGCGCGTGTGCAACTGCGAGTCCGTGTAAATCGCAGTCACCGGTGTCACGCGAGGTGAGATTGGAGCGTCCGAGATCAAGTCGTCTGCCGACTCTTCCTTTTGGTATCGATGGCCTATATCTTCTTGGTGCAGACGGCGCAGAGCGATGTGAGACCGAAATGTTGTTCGCTTGGCCGGGGAATCGGTCTGCACCTAGAATGGATTCCCATCGTCACAACACATTGCACATTGGTGCATGGCAACTGGCCGAGACCGTACTTGTTCAATGACATGACCAGTGGCGAGTTGAGTGAGACAAACTGCCAGCACATTGATGGCATCGTGGGCCATTTTTTGCATGAAGGCATCGCTTGGGTCGTCGCAGCCGCACACAGCAAACGCGAGGAGGCATTCAATGGCGTCCACAAACACCGACACCTACGCGTAGGTTCGATTATCAAACCCCGTGGCCACCCACGCAAAGTAGTGCGGTACCACGCGGTCAAAGTGAGTGGTCAGGATCATTTGCGCAATGCTAAACCCCATCGCGACAACAGGACGCGCGACTTCGCCTTCAGCAGGATCGTACGTCTCCGCCGCGACGCGCAAGACGCCCCAGATCGTTTTCCACCCCGACTTGATGTTGCGAACGCGTCCGAGAATCATGTTTTGAACGCAACTAGGGCACAGCTCGCTCGGAATGGTCACGACGACTGGAGCAAACGGACCTGAGCACAAGCTCACGGATTTCTGTCGCGACGGCGTTCGCCATGATGATTTCAAACGGTGCAAGGAAGAGCCGCTGAAAGTTAAAATCGCGGAGTTCGTCTTTCTCCAGGAACTTCATGCTCAGCTGCTTGAGTGAATCGATCGCGTACATGGCTATGCCCAAGTTGTCGTGGCACCCGATCGTAGTAAAATGGCGCGTCAGTACTACAAATGAATCGCATGACAACGTGCAATGTGACATACATGACCATTGCACTCGATGTCCACCAGCCGTTCAAATTTAACAACTCCACACGCATGTGCCTCCACTGAGAGGCTACCGAACACTCGGACAACACAGCGCCAGGACATCGTCAGCATACCTTTCCAGACACTGGCCCAGACGACACGGGAGCGGACGTGCATGTTCATGTCGGCGACTTCGACGAGCTTCTGGAGCGAAAACACGCGAGGGGCATTGGTTTCACGGACGGTGACCCCTCGCCCGGAAATACCGGCGCACTCAGTCAACGATACGACACACAACTGGAGAACGAGGTCTTGAATCGCGCCGTTTGTGAGGTGTACACTGCTCGAAAACACCCGATCGACTTGCAACGGGTCGATTTCGCCCGCGACGCGGTGCGAGTTTTCTTCTTCCAACGAGCGATCGCTGTCAATTCCGTTGGACGCGCCACTCCCGCCGCCGCCACCTATCGATGGCAGCGACGACAACGCGGCAGACGGCGACGAAAAGTTGAGCGACATGGGGGACGACGACCCTCGGGCCAGGCGTTTTAACGCCGACGTGGACGCTACAACGTCATGAGCAACGTCGACCCGACCAGACTCGTCCAAGGATTTACTTTGCTTGTTCAAGAACGGCTGGTCCGTCGACAGAGACCCCTGAGCAATGCTCTGGAGCCTCGCGAGATGCGATAAACACTGCAGCACGTCACGCTACACCACAACGACAGAATTTGGAGGTTTTGAATGGATGGAACATCCAGCGATAAATCTGAACGTACCCAAGCGTCGCCTAGGTAGTTGCCTTCATGAACAGCAATGTACACAACCGCTTTGACGGCTTCGACGTGTTTCCAGCGAATTTCCCGCGAGGCCGACGTCGCAAGGCCGGTAAACTTGGCCAGGATCGAGATGAACGCGTCTCGTTCGGACGGCATGTTGAGTCTACCAGATGAACGGCTTGAGAACGACGTGGTTGCCCTGGACCCACGACACGAGTTACCTCGATGACAAGTGGATGGCGTGCTTAAAGCTGTCAATGCAAAGCGTGATCGCACTGGCCGAGTCGGTCGTCTCGAAGATCACACTGCAGCACGCGAGCAGCGGCGCCCACACGATTTCAAACATCGGTCGGACGTAAGAGCTTTCCGTGTCGTCCGTGATCAACTGAAACGGCGTCGAACTGGTCGTTGACGGCGACGCGCCACTTTGCGGTGTCGTAGGCCCACGGCGTTTGAACAACGCCTCCGAATTTTTCACCTGCCCACGACGCATGGATAAACACAATGGTACATGGAGTGCTGCTCGGGCAGTACCATCGCCTCACGCTCCTTGCTATACGCTTCCCGCCGCATGCGGTCGTTGTTCTGGACGTTTCCAGTCTGGACTTGAATGCGCTTCTTCAGTTCCACGTCCTCCTTGAGCGAAATCGGCGTGCTCTTGATGCGGTCGTAAATGCCCCCTGTGCATTACCTCGATTGAGTCGGGGGACAGAAACGTTGCCCATCATGATGAAGTAAATGCCGACAGACCGAGAAACTCTGGCGCTAGGTCTTCTCCGTTGTTGATTCCGCGATTGTTGCGAATAAAGCCCTCTTTCGTCATGCGCTTTTCCTCTGGAATCGACGGATTGTGCAAGTCCTGGAACAGCGCAAAGAATTCCATCATTGATGACGTCACAGCGACAACGACACACCGTTTGAAGCATGATGATCGAAAACGACAAGATGAACGCCGTGTCCGCCGACGGAAAAATGCCCGGATTTTGAGAGCAGTACCTAATCCACTCCATCAAATATATCCCAATGCTCTTGTAAAGCGCATGGGACCAAGTAGTTTGCATCGTACCGTTCGGCGAACTTTTCCATCATGCGATCTATCTTTTGCGACTCGCCTGGCAACCGAAACCCGGTCAAGAAGTGGCGAATGGCTTCGTCCACTTGAAGGCCCCTGCACCACATTCAAAAGTTCCATCAACCGGTTGTCCCAATACACAAATCACACGTCATGGCAGTCTCTCTCCCAGGAAATTTTGTGAGGTGGCAGAAAAATACGCGAAACATCGCAAGGTCGCACAAAATCGAGGCGTATCACCACCCACGACGCCACGTCCCGTCATCATCCACGATCGAAAAAGCCCATGACTGATCGGCTCCGTTTCAAAATCCAACGACGGACAGATTCGAAAATGCCGCTGGAACCACATCGAACAACGTCCTCGCCGCCGCCCCCGACTCCAACATACGTACATGTAGTCCATCATGTCGACGAATTCATGCAGCACTTTGAGGCAAAACCCGTTTTGGTACTGCACCTCCTTGCCAAGGTAGTCCCCGACCTACACAGCCACGTGGTTCACGGCCCGTTCAATGTGTCGATGAAGGGTACCATCGTTTTATCGAGACGGTTGCTCTGCTCGTGGAGGAACTTGGCGACGTCGCGTGGTGTGTTTTCCATGTACTTTTTCGCGACGAGAAACTTGACACCGTCTGTGGGCTTCAGGTTGAATTTTAATATTCCTTCCGCCAACTCTTCTTGCAGTCGCTTCTTTTTGTCAAACGCTTCGACCGCGCTCATTTTTGCCAGCGGTTGATTCGTTGTGGCGATCGTGGCGTCGTCCGCTGGCACAATGGGGGCCAACTCGTCGCTGGACGACGTGGCCGTCGACGCGTCGTCGTCCTCTTCCTTGAGCATCTTGTCCATCTTGCGTTTTTCATCGGAAATGTTGGCGACTTTCTTCAGCGACCCGACCACCGCCGTCAAGCACTCCAACCCTATGCTCCAGTTGGAGTATTACATCCCATACAGGAAACACGACTGCTGGCCTACCTTTGAGCACGAGCGCAGTGTCTTGGACCTTGCTCGCTTGCTTGGCGGCGTTTGAGGTCGGGGTGGCGGAATCGCTCTTCTTGCCTTTCGCGATCTTGCTGATCGCGTCCACGATGCGCTTGAAGAGGTCCATAGAGTTCCAGTCGCAGTCGTAGTTCAAGAAGATTTCGCCAAGGATCGAACCGTCCAAGCAAATCTGCTTTAGGACTTCAAGGACAAGGAGCTTGTGTTCCATGCTCGAGTTTTCACTCTCAAGGAGGCCGAGGAAGATGTTGGTTATAAACACTTCCATTTCGCTCTTCAGGTGTGCCTTGAACTGAGCAATCAGCACGACAAACACGCGCAGGCTTAGCTCCACGATCTGCGTGTAGTTGGACGTGCAGTTTTGCAGGAGCGACACGCACAAATACTGCTTGATCAACGTGATGAAGCGCTCGCTGTCTCGGAACGTCGGCCCGCCGTTGTTCAGAATCGACAACAGCAAGTCCAGCGAAACGAGCTTGCTCTGAAATGCAAACGGGTCGTCGCTGCCTTGCGGTGGTCCGTTCGGGTTCGAGTTGGACAGCCCAGGCGACGCGGACGACCCTGTCGACGCTGCGTCTTCCGCCAACGACCGCATCGAGATGCGACACAACGACCGGAACAACAGAAATGCATCCTTGTGGAACAACGACGGAAACGGCGCATTCAAAGTTGTCGCCAAAGGAGCCGACTTGGGCGCGGCCGCATCGTCCTCAGCAGCTGCCGCGGTCGAGTCCAAGTCGGCCGTGCTGGATTTCGCCAACGTGCTGTTCACACGATGCTGCACGGCAACGTGCAAATGCAGTGCTCGCACGACGTCTAGTGAAGGCTTGTTAGACGGGTGGGTTGAAAAGAACCACGGCAGATACAGATGAAACTCGCGACATGGCCATGTAACTGAGTTGCTGAAAATGGTCAAAAATCAAGTGACTACCCCATCGGCGTCGTCGAGAGAAGTTTAGCTTTGAAGGTAGCGATCATAAATACCAAGTAGCATCTGAATGGAGCCGAGAATCGCCTCCCAAGCGATGGACACCTCTCGGTGCAGTATTTGGAATGTCGTGAGAGTCGAACGGTCGTGCACTCAAACACAACTCAATCACCAGGTCAGTTGACGGTACCTGGGTACATGGCGTGGGTTGGTTCGGCCTTTTCAGCTTCGAGAGCGTCGGTGTCGTCGGCGGGGAGACTGTGGTTCGAGTCGTCCCGTGCCACAGCTGTGGACGCAACCGGCGCTGGTGGCGTAGCAGCATCGTTCGAATGCAACGTTTCCTCCATGTGTTCCATGCGCTGAAAGACGACGCTCACCATTTGCTGCAAAGTCGCCTTGGCCACCGTTTGATTCATTGTATTTTTGCTCACGAGGTGGATGTGGTAGCACGCACGGACGGACTTGAGCAGACTGTGTTCGTGGACGTCGCAAGTTCGACTCGTGACCGCTTGAAGCACGGCTTTGAGCACTTGCAACTGCACTTCCTCGTCGTGGTGGTCGTTGCAGCTGCAAATGCACGTGACTATCGCGTCCATGAGGGTCACCTTGGCCGCGTCTTCGTCCTTTTCCTTGATCGGCAGCTTCGCCATGGTGGCAGCGTTCACAGGGCCAGTTCCGCGAAGGTACCCATAGGAGATGAGCTTCTCGATGCAGTCCAAAGCTTGGGACGCTTGTTTGGGCTGTCGTCCGAGAATGGCTAGACAGAGCGGATAAAAGATCTCGGCCTCGTCCGGCCGCATCGTCTTGCCCGCAATCTTAGCCAGTACTCCATCCAGTGCATCTCGAAGTTCCTTTTGCGACCTCCCCGTCAACTTGCGGATCTTCGTGTACGATCTCTCGACCAGCGTCTCCATGACGATGATGCGCTGAAAATATCTGGGGTGGTGTTGTTAGGGTCGTTTCAAACACAATATCTGTATCAATTAATATCAAAAATATTCATTTTCAAAGGTATATCGCGTTGATCGATCGATTCCTTGGGCAACGAAGCTCCTGACGAGAGTTTGCGGAGGGACCGATGAATACGAGGATGCAAAACCTTCAACAGAAATGGAAGATCCACCCTTGTGCGTCCTCGAGTTGACCCCAGCGTGGTGCCTGCTTACACGCCAACGTATTGAAACTGCGCCCCTCAGCTCTGCGGTGGCGCGGCGCTAGTATGTGCGGCCCATGCGGACTTTCCGCCCTCGAAGGCTTTTACGCATGCGGTGAGGGATTCCGTTGGCGATTCCATTGGCACCTTGGATATTCGGCAATGCAGCTCCAGCTGCTCCAATGTTGCGCTCACGACCAGGTCAATCGGCAAGTCCTTGGTATTCCGACCTTTGATCGAACAAGAGACATCTCCTGCATATAAACGACAGATTGCTACAGTCAACGACACGTTTTTCACCACTTGATCTCGTCAAGGACTCTTGAGAAACTCGCTGGCTTTCGCTAACGCACTTTGGAGCAGTTTTTCCAATTCTCTGACCTTCATCGCCTGCTCAGATCCCGGCCTGGTTTGCATAGCGATCGCCACCCACGCCTGAACTTGAGGCAGAAAGCGCTTGTGGATCTCATCGGTCTGTTCTTGCAGCGTTCTCCTCAACAGCTCGAGATCATTGGCGTCAATGGTGTCTGGAATTGCAACGCTGATTGAATAAGCGGCGCTTCCGAGGCCGCACGAAGCAATGACTTCTGGTAGGTCCATGGTTGCAACCGAAGGTGCCACGACGACATCTTCCCACCCGTCGTCATCGTCATCGCCGTAGACGGAACGGCGCGGAAGTAGCGCGGCAAAGCAATTTTCGACAGTTGGCACCAAAATCCCACAAGTCTCCTGCATGCTGTCCACGTGTGCAAGAATGGCCGTGGCGTGGGCATCAACCTGTCGTTGCATGTGCTCGAACTGCATGTCAGACATGGACGTTTCCATTTGACTATTCTCGGCCTGGACGTGGGTGTCGCGGTCATGCTAGGGACACTGTCATGCGGGGGGTGGAGGTGGCGTGATGGGTAGATACCTCCTGGAGCATGGACGTCCATTTCGACGGTATGGAACTAACAGCGGCTCGAAGTTGAGGCATCCCTCCGCCGAATTTCGTATCCCATGCGCGAAAAAGCTTGAGGACGTCTAGGTTGTAGAGGTCCTTGGCGTGTAAGATGCGGCAGATTGGCTGCAGTTGCCCCACAAGCTCGACGCGGAATGCTTTTGATCGATCAAACAAGCATTCCCATATTCGATAGATCTGTGTCAGAAGTAATGGTAAGAAGGCATGGTTCATGTCATGAAAGGAAAATGCATTATACCTCGGGAAGCGGCGGTGCGCTTTGTGATAGCGCTTTTAACGTTGCAGCCACCGTCCTTCGACAAGAGTCGGCTGGATTCAACGCGTACCGAATCCCCTTCTTGACAAGGTCCAAGGCAGCCTCTGGCGTTATGGCATTCTCGTCCTGGACATATTCTTGTCGACTTCGCTTCCTTTTCATGGATAGCTTCTTTCCTTGAAGGAGCTTCGAGAGGCCTTTGTTCAGCGCCGTTGCAGCATCGTCGCCGTCCATGTTGAATTGGCGCGATGAGACTTTGGAGCGCAAACATTTTTCGTCTGATCGAATCCCGACGTACTGGAAAAATATCAAAGTTTGGCAACTATTTTGTCGTCAAATCGACGTTTTTACCGACATTTCGACGCAATTTTCTAATGTATTCTCAACAAAAAACGACACATCTTTGTAAAATAGGTGATATGTAAATGAGGTTCAGAAATGCATCCACGACTCGACTTAGCGCTGAAGTGTGGGGGCGTTGAGGTTGATTTGGCTCTGGCGGGTTTCTTGGTGGTGGTTGGTCGCGATGAACGACTCGGCCATCGTGGTTTCTTCGTCGCAGCTAAAGGCGTACCCCGTGTTCTTTCTCGAGATGCCAGGACGTAGCAGGGCTCTCTTGGCGTGTGCTTTTCGTCCAGCAGTCATGGGACTGCCCAACGTGTCTTGGGCTTGGAATTTGGCGAGCTCTTCCGGCGCGACATCGTTAAGGGACACACTGAATTCACGAGCTTCTTCGATGTTGGCCACGGTCATGCGAATGGTTTGTAGTTTCTCGATCAAGACCGCCTACACCCACGAAATCGTCACGAACTGTTGAACCCGCCTCATGAACACTACATACCTCTTGGAGGATCTGGTACAGCTCTGGGGAAAAGAGGCGCTGGTACTGGTTCCACGAAAAGTGGCGACCGAGCGCAATCGACGACCCGATCAGGAGAATCAACCAGAACGACCCCGACTCAAAGGTCGGGACAAACGAGCCAAACTCGTCGTACCCGACTTTGAGTGTGGCAAACCATGGAATCACGGTGGTCCCGAGCCATACAAACACAAACCAGCTGAGGACGCTCGTCCACCACGTAACGCGGGGGACCCACGTCCAGTTGCACATGATGAGGCAGATCTTCAAGTTGACAATCAGCACCGCCAGTGTGAACGCGACCATGCCGTACTCAACACGGGACTCGGACCCGATCGCGTTGTTCTTCGAGTTGTACCCGTACACCATGACGAAGAAAATGATGAGGCTTTCGTACATGGCGGCACCAAGCCATCGGAAGAACGAATAAAAGTTGAACAAGGACCGGTTCGGGCCAACTTGGTACAGCGTCGGGTACCGGAGACTCATCGAGTCGGGCAAGTCTTGGTCGAGCACACCGAGCACGACAATCGGGAGGCCCGTGAAGAAGATGTTGTACACTTGGACGCCCAATTCCCAGTACACTTTGGACCCGGACGCACCACTGAGAAACCCGTACCAGTACTGCGCCAGCACGAGCGTAATGTTTTTGTAAAACATGTACAGCACAACTTTGGATATGCGCATGTAGTTCCACCGACCGTGAACCAACAGGAGCCGCTGAAGAAAACGAAATTGGGCAATGGCATAGTCACTCGAGTTGACCGCTTGCATCCCTTCCTGGCCGGAAATGCCGACGCCGATGTGCGCCGCTTGAATCATTGCGACATCGTTCGCGCCGTCCCCGATCGCCAACGTTCTATAGACATCCCAGATCAACGTGTGCATCATGGATGGTGGACGCACCTTGCTTCAGGCAAATTGTCTCGAATGAGCATCACCATTTCAGCCTTTTGAGCTGGCGACACCCGACAGCAAATGACCGCGACACAGTATTGAGCCAAACCCAACAAGTCCTTCTTCATGTCAGGCTTGAGCGCGACTTCGAGCGCTTCCCCGTCGATGACGAGCGCATACCGATCCTGGCCTTGCTTGGCATGGTACGCGTCGGCAGCTGACGCGAGTTTCTCACGAATGGCGTCAGGCGTCGGGCAATTCTCCAAGTTGATGATGACTTGGACAATTGCGTTGTCGAGCAACGCGCAAGCGTACCCGATGTTGATGGCTGTTTCTTCCTTGTCACCTGTCAGCATCCACACCTTGATGAGGGCGGAACTGAGGCTCGAGAGGCATTCTGGGACCCCGCGCTGGAGCTTGTCTTCAATTGCGGTGGCGCCAATGAGGTGTAAATCGGACTCCATTTCTTCCATGAGGTCGTCGATCGCATTCGGCTGACCCTGCTTACGCTTCTCGAGCTGTTCGATCGAGCCGCTGGCGGCGCGGTACTTGGCGCTCCACGTGGCAAACCAAGCCTCGTCCAGAGGCTTTACGGCGAGCGCGAGGGTGCGCAAACCGTCGTCGGCGTACTGCTCCATGTGCTGGGACGTGATGGCTTCTAGTTCTTTCGACGACGGGTGCAAGCGGGCGTAAATCATCATGTCGGCGCCCTTGGAGTACAAGACCAGTTCGTTCGTGGGTAAACGGACAACTACTGACATGCGCTTCCGCGTGCTGTTGAATTCGAGGACTTCGAGAATATCGTACGACTTTTTTCCAACACCGGCAACGTCCAGGATAGCCTTGCCAACGGCACGACTCTCAAACTTATACCCCATGTACTGTGCGCCAGCGACAAGCGCCTGTTCATCGGGCGACGAAGCACTTAGTCGAATTTCTCCCGAGTCGAGTTTTTCTGGGATCACGGTGTGGCAAACGGCCAAGTGCTCGAAGAATTGGTGGCACTTTTTGCGTTGGACTTCGTCGCGGGGGTCGGTGCCGCGCATAACCTCGTCTAGCGCCGGGTCGACAAAGTTGACATAAGGAATTGACTTGACGTTCGGGTCGGCTGTCGGTTCTGGTGGAATCGGAAGCCCTGCACGCTTGAGAGCCGCCCGGCCTGCCAACATGCCGTGAATATCAACCCATTCGTCTCATCGAAAAAACGCATTCAGTACATACCGATTTCCGTCAGCCCCGAGCCGTAGCTGACACCGTTGATCGAACACTTGCGGAAGTCCATCACGTTGCATGTAAGCGTACCGGTTTTGTCGCTAAAGATATAAGAGATCTGGCCTAGTTCTTCGTTCAGAGCCATCGTTCGGACAATCGCAGGCGTGTCGCTCTCTTCGTGGTACATCTTGAGGTCCCACGCCATGAACATGGCTTGCAAAAACTTGACAGTTGTCAGTGACACGTACAGCGAGATCGGGATCACTTGATAGAGTAGCAAAAAGTAGTAGAAGCACATTGTAAACCACGTCTGGATCGCGTCGCCTGTCGTTTCAATCACGAATTTGTGCGTCGAGAGCGTCCCGTGGAGGTACCATGCCTCGCGCGCGATTTGGTTCTGCCACGTCACAAACACGGTCGCCGCCACAGAACAGAGCACGACTAGCCCAATGCACAGCATCCCAATGCACTTGTTCAGCGTGACCATGACGTCGCTCCACTTGGTCGGCGCCGCCGACGCACTCTGCATGATCTTGGTGTCGCTGCCTGTGTTCAGGACGAGGCCGTACACCCAGTCCGTGTTGCGCAGCGTGCAACCACGCAGCAGCACGTTCTTGATACTCAACGGTTCGCGAGGCCACACTTGACCGTCCACAGTCACGTCCATATTGCCTGCGCACGCCATAAGACCACCGTGGACAAAATCGAGTGACGACGGTATCCCAACGACGGAAGAAAGCACTCCCGTGGCAGGCCAATGTGCCAAACGCACGCTAGCAACCACACCACCACACATCCACATAAAAAGGAGACAGGATTACCTGCAAACTTATTGATGTACGGGTTTGGTGTTTCGCAAACAACCGTGCCTTGGAGCCGAAGCAGGTCCGACGTGTTGCGAAGGGTACCCATGGTGGCAGGTAGAGCTTGGCGAAGCTTCAAGTTTGTTTCACCGTCAAGGGATTTTGTCTCGACATAGCAAATCCCGCTGGGGACATGTGGGTCGGGCTCGTCCACCGACAAAATCAGGACGTCTGCTGGAATGACCTCGCGATTCCGAATCTGGAGTACGTCGCCGACCTTGACGTGGGACCAGAGGCGGTCCACGACTGTGTTTTTATCCACGACGACGTGACACGTCGCCGAGTTGGCGGCATCGTCGCTTTGATGACGGCGCAAATCTTCCATGATGGCAAAGATCGCGTCAATGCAGATAACAAAGAGCAGCGTGGGTGCGTTCGTTGGGACGCCATACGTGTTGGAAATCGCTTTGATCGTCTGGAGAATCGAGACGACAAGAAAGAACAGGTTCGCGACCTTGCAAAACGACTCAAAGAGAAACTTGGGCAAGAACGAAAAAATCGTGTACTTGGACGTGACGACGATGTTCGTGCCCTGCCCGTACAGCTCGTTGTTAAACGCAGCATCGTGGAGAGACACAGTGCGCGAGTCCGCTTCCACAGAAGGCGAAGACGACGAGGTCACACCAGGGAGGTGATCGCTCGACGACGTCGCAGTTGGGCCTGTCAACGGAGTATTCACACAGCGATATGTATCGTTTCCACTTTTCGTCTCTCCTTTCCTTCCATCGTCTGGGTGAGACAGCGGCAGGTCTGGGTTCTTAGTGATGCCCTCGCTAGCCTCGTCCGGCTTCACATCGTGCTGCTCCATGGCCGTTCAACTCAAACGCAAAGTCATAAAACCACCACACCGCCTTCGCTAAAATTAGGCTCAAACATACTTATTCGAAAGGTACCTTATTGAAATGTATACATTTTTCAAACTATTTTAGGAACAAGGTACTTTAAAGAAAGGCACGACTGCATATTGTAACTGGCCAAATCGTACGTGTGCACCCACCCACCACAGCGCCAGAACGGCGACAGCTCCGGGTGTCGCACCGAGGCATTACACATCTCAGTGCAGGCGGAGCCAAGCAACGCCTATTCCCCTGGCAGAATACTTGTATACGAAGCCACAATATGTGTGCGGCGGCGGCGCCGCTGCTCGTTCGTTTTCTTCCTTGCACAATCCCACACAAGATTTGCAAGGGCCGAGAACCCACTAATATGGGAGAAAGGCGATGAATATCGCATTTGGAAAAAATATTGTGCGAAAATGTATCTGTACCTGTATTTCCATTTAAATTTTGTCGATGTGGTCATTTTCTTCAACTACAGTAGACCACGAAGAACGTTGTTGCTTTAGCGGCACAGTTGTGCTCATTAACGGCGCCAAAAAGCAATTGAGCGCTCAGTTCCAACCCCCACTTGCCTTGTTCATGTCGTCACAAGAGTGTACGTTTATCCTGCAGGCTTCATGTTTCATCAAATTTAACGCAGAATTCGGTGCAAAAGTACGAGGTCAATAAATATTTTCGTTCCTTGAATACTGTACATTTGCTATAAATTTCAATAATATATCGCAAAAATCTTTCACTCGAATCCGGATAAACTTGCCATTCGTATCCGGACCTTCCTCGCATGCTTGAGGTTCCATTTCGAAGGCATCGGCGATGGTACAGTGGGCGCTCTTCTGGGGATGTATGCTGACGGGGTTTGCGCCGGTATCGTTCCTGTTCCTGACAGTGGTGGCCCAGCGCGCGCAGCTCGTGATCTTGTCGATCACGGCTGCGTTCTTCTATCTCCTCGGTCTTCTCGTGGCAGCAACGTTGTGGAGTGTAATTCCCCCGCTCCATGACTCGATCCACGCGACAATCCCGGTCGCCATACTTGTCCAAGAGTTGTTTCGTTATGCATTCTTTGTTGTGTACATTCGCTGCGAACAAGCTGTGAAGCGTGTGACAACCAAGCAAAACCAATTGCCGCTGAATGACCTCACTTCGTCGTTTGGTACTACGTCCAACATGATTGAATCCGACGTTCTCACGGTATGTTATAGCATCGGGCGTGGGCTTTGCCCTCATGCGTGCGCTGATGTTGTATGGTACGGTTCTTGCGTCGAGTATGGCGGGTGAAGGAGCTGCGTTTACCGCTACGTGCCCGCAGATTCCGCTCGTGTTTGCGTCAGGTAGCGTCTGCTTGTATTCCACTATTGCACTACTCAAAATCGTGTTCGAGTAGCACTTTCTACCTTGGCGCTGACGTTGATGGATATCGCGCTCATGATCCTTGCGTTCGAAGGCTATCGCAAGCGCTCTGCCACCCATATCGTGGCCGTTGTGTTGTTGCATCTGGGATCGGGTTTGTCGGTGGGTAATGACCCCAGCCGTAGGTATCATCTAACGATCGATGATTGTGCAGAACATGCTCAACCTCAACGAAGTTGGATGTACCGCCTCCATCCCGCTCACATATGTCGCGGCCCTTCTCGCCATCTTTGCAGCCACGGTCAGTGTCAAGCGGTCGTCGCCGTCGTTTGCGTCGTAAGCACGTCAAGTCGGCGGCTCCCCAGCTTTGTCACATCCAATGTAAATTGGATATATGTATCAGCTCTTCACTCTTCCTTCTCGACGACTTTCGTGCGACGTCATGGCAATCGTTCCCAGCTGCATCGTTCCGACAAGAAAAAGACTTTGGAAATCGTCGGCAGCCTGATGATAGAGGACAATGTAGATCTTGTAAAGCCCCTTCAGAGCATTCACATTCCAGCAAACAACGAGCAAGCGCGGGCGTCCGATCACATGCACGGATTGCAATGGGCCGCACGAGTTCGGCGAGGGTACCGGTGACAACGGACGCAATACCCAGCTCATCGTGGTCACGCAGCATGACTCCTCTAACCTTTCTTGGCGACTATGTGCGCCTTGATTGCCCAAGCTATACAGTTTATTGCACATAAATCGACGTCGTGTGCAATGCGTACGCATCCAAGTAGACCTTCCACGCAGCACGAATGAATGGCACAGCCTCCACGTCTTTAGTTTTTTGGTGAACTATCGAGACCACGAGAGGTCCGAGAGACAGCTCATCATGGCCGATCGTCGTTCGGGGTCTGCAAGTGATACCCAACAATGGCTTGGACTTCTTCCCGGCAACCCAAGATGACAGGCACCCGTTGATGCAGCGAAGTCGGGATCACATCCAGCATACGCTTGACACCGATGCTGGCGGCGCCGCCTGCTTGTTCGATCAACAAGCTCATGGGGTTCGCCTCGTAGAGCAGTCGAAGTCGGCCTTCCATTCGCCCCTTCATGCGGACGTCCCATGGGTACAAGAACACCCCGCCACGACACAAGATGCGATGCACCTCGGCCACCATCGATGCAATCCACCGCATGTTGAAATCTTTGCCGCGAGGACCTACAACCAATGCCACGTCCATGAAAGACGCATCCCAAACTGAACGCACACCACCCAACTGCTGCTTCATTTGAAGCGTGGATATCGTTGCACATCAAGCTCGGACTTTCACACACGTATTCGAGTGCGATGGCCGTACCTTGGACTCCGGCGAGGCAGTCGGCCACGTACGCCGCGATCGGTGGTTCCCAGTGCCGTGTGTTGGACATGTTGATGGCAAACTCTTTCGTCGATAGAGAGAGGGTTACTTGTGGTTGCGTGCACACAAACACTTGACGGGCAACGTCCAACGTGAACATGTGGACGCCGTGGCCGACGGTGATGACAAGCGTCGTCTGGGGGCCGTAGATGGCGTAGCCCGCGGCGAGTTGTCGATCGCCGGATTGAAGGAAATCCGACGCGACGGTTGCGGTGGCATTGACGCTGGGCGTGTGTGGAAGGACGGAAAAAATGGTTCCAATTGACACGTTCACGTCAATGTTGGACGAACCGTCGAGGGGATCGAAAAGCAGAAGGTATCGCCCAGACGGTGATGCGGCGTAGACATCCTCGCTTTCTTCAGAGCACATGCCAGCAAGCGACGGATCGTCTTGGCATCGACGTAGCATCGCATCATTTGAGAGCAAGTCCAACTTTTGCTGCACTTCGCCCTGGACGTTGCCCGAGTGAGCCGACCCGAGAACGTTGTCTGCAAGGGCACCACGTTGAATCAACGCCTGGATATCCATGCATGCCTCCGCCACACGCAAGAGAAGGCTGCCAGGTAAGGACGCATCTAACTGGCCGACAAACGCGCCCAACGATTCACCAGCGCGCGGAGCGGTCGTGATGGGGCGGTGCGCGGTGGCGTTGTTCATAGCACACGGATGCGCAATTCAAACTGAACCGACCAATCACGGATTAAACCCATGGAAGAGGTTAAAGTCCCATAAAACCCCGAAAACCCGCTACGATGGGTTGGGGTTTTCACTCACGTCTCGGTGGCGTGGCGTGCGCCATCATCTCGCAACCGCAGCTCGTCGAAGGATGTATGCCTTTGGTGCCTGAGTATGCCTTG